AATAACTTATTGTTTTACGGGAAAAAATTGTTCTTGTGAATTTATTTAATTTTTCTAAATATTATAATTTTTTTTTTTTTTGCTTTTGTATAAATATAACATTTTTTTTGTTTTACTTTAAAAATGAACGAAATTTTTATTTAAAGAGAAATTAAAACTTTTGTAGAAGAAATTTTGGCTTTTTTCTATTTTTTTAAATAAAGATTTTATTCTCCGTTTGGAAAAATAATTTTTTCCAAATAAATTTTTGCTTTACGCGTGAATAGAATATTATTTTTATTTTATTTATTAAAAATTATTCTAGTTATAGAGCATCGAAAATTTAATTAAAAAATCTACTCCTGAATTATTTTTGCAAACGGAAAATAAAATTTAAAAAAAAATCGAAAATGTAAAAAAATAAACGGGATTTAAAATTTTTATGTCGAAAAAAGTAGAAAAAAGACAAAATTTCTTTTACAAAAATTTTATTTTCCGTTTAGAAAAATAATTCAGGAGGAGATAATTTTTTCAAATAAATTTTGACTTTTCCTATAAATAGAATATTTGTTTAAAAATAATTTTTCAAATGTTAATTTTTCTTTCTGTAGAAATGGAATTTTTTTTATTTTCTTTTAAAAATAAACGGGATTTTAATTTTTTATATACAAAAAAATTGAGTCTTTATATTTTCGATTTTTTTTAATAATGATTTTAATTTCCGTTTGAAAAAATAATTCAGTAGATAATATTTTCCAAGTAAATTTTTCCTTCTCTATAAATAGAATATTTTTTAAATATTATTTTATGAATAAACAGAATTTAAATTTCTTTACGTACAAAAAATTGTTTTTTTCGATTGTAAAATTGTATTTTCGATTTTTTTTAAGAATTTTATTTTCCGTTTGCAAAAATAATTCAGGAGTAGATTTTTATTAACTAAATTTTTTCTGAGCTCTATAACTAGAATAATTTTTAATAATTTTTAAATATTAATTTTTACTTCTCTGTATAAATAGAATATTTTTTATTTTATTTGAAAAATAACCCGAATTTTAATTTTTTATCTAACAAAAATTAAATCGTTTATATTTTCGATTTTACTTTCCATTTGGAAAAATAATTCAAGAGATCTAATTTTTTCAAATAAATGTTTCCTTCCTTGTAAATAGAATATTTTTCTAAAATAAAATAATTAATTTAAAAAATAGATTTCTATTATTTTATCTAAAAAAAAAATTGTCTTTCTAAAGTTTTGAATTTTTTAACTTTAAGAATTTTACTTTTCAGTTTGGAAAAATAATTCAATTCATAGATAATTTATTTCAAATAAATAATTTGTTTATTTAGACATTTTATTAGGATTATAAATGATCTCATGTCCACGACCGGTAGTGAAAATTATTATTTTTAATTTCAATTTGATTTAAAGTATTGTATACAACTCATAGAGACGTGCGTGCACTTATAAACGATTTATACGTTAATTAAATGTTTCGAAACTTAAATATTATTCTTGGTATGTGAGAAACGTAATAGCGAGACATAAAACTTTTTTTTGTCATTAAATTAAGAAAAAGAAAAAGAAAATTTGAATTTGAATTCAAATTTTTTTCTTCTTAGCATCTAGTAAAATTTTTCTTTTATTCTTTATTATTTACAATTTATAATTTAATTTATCTAATGCTTTATTCTATTTTTCCTTATTTTCTGTCATTTAATTCAAAAAAGTGGTACTTGTAAAAAATTTTATTTTTCGAAAAAGTATTTTTTATTTCAATTATTTTTTTTCTGTAGTAATTTCGTTTTTTTGTCATTTAATTGAAAAGTGTAAATTAGATTTGGAAATTTAATTGACGAAAGTAAATTAGAATTTGAATTTTTCTATTCTTGGTACCGATTAAATTTTTCTTTCTCGGAAAAATATTTTCTATTTTAATTATTTTTTTCTGTATAGTAATTTATTTTTTGTTTCCTATTTAATTGAAGAAAATAAATTTGAATTTGAATTTGAATTACAATTTTTTTTCTATTTGGCGGTGCTTGTAAAAAAATTTATTTTTCGGAAAAGTATTTTTTATTGCAATTATTTTTTTTACCTAGTAATTTCGTTTTTTTGTCATTTAATTGAAAAGTGTAAATTAGATTTGGAATTTAAACCTTTTTCTTCTTGGTACCAATTAAAATTTTATTTATCGATACAATATTTATTTTATAATATTCTTTTTCTGTAGTAATTAATATTTTGTCATTGACGAAAGTAAATTAGAATTTAAATTTTTCTACTCTTGGTACCGATTAAATTTTTATTTCTCGGAAAAATATTTTCTATTTTAATTATTTTTTTCTGTATAGTAATTAATATTTTGTCATTGACGAAAGTAAATTCGAATTTGAATTTTTCTATTCTTGGTACCGATTAAATTTTTATTTCTCGGAAAAATATTTTCTATTTTAATTATTTTTTTCTGTATTAATTTTTTTATTTACTTGACTTGAAAGTCTTATTTAATTGAATTGAATTCCTATTTTATTGAAAAAAGGAACTCAGAATTCGGATTGAAATTTCTTTCTTTCTTCCCCTAAATTTTTCTTTCTCGAAAAAATATTTCCTCCCTTGTTATCTATTTTTGCGGAAATAATTAATATTCCCTAAAGAAGAAAATCCGTGAGTCAATTTTTAATATTTCCATTAAATAATTTTTTTTCTTTTTTTTTGAAAGGCGCGAAATTTGTTTCCAGAACTGAATTTTAATGAAGTTTCTACTGATTGAAATTAAATAAACATTAGGTGAATTGAAGTAGTAATCGGAAAGCTCCTTTCTGAATCATTCCAGCGTGGATAATTTTGCGTAACACATATATTATGTTGTCATCCTCGTTTCGCATTTTATTTATGAAATAAAAGTGTCCAATACCGTTGCAAAGAAATGGTTACCCTTTATATTCTCTCGAGACCGCGTGACTTGTATTGTAGTCTCTTCATTTATACCGTTATAATACCAACTATATAGAATACATCTTACCTGACTTTCTGGTGACCTCTCTTTCTTTCTCCCTCGAACCTAAATTTACTTCCTTTACTTTTTTTTTCTTCTTCTTCTTCTTCTTCTTTTACTTCTTTAAGTACTGACCATGTTACCATCCAAACAGAAATGAGGGAATTCTTTTTCATTTTCAATCCATGATTCGGTACAATGATTTCTATCCAATACACCGTTTTTCTCCCGATTATTATTTTTGCAGCAAAGAATTTTTCCGTCTGAAAAATAAAAAAGAAATTAATAATTAATTAAATTAAATATTTAATTAGTAAAATTATTCAAAAAATTCGATTTTTCCCAGAAAAAAAATCTTTTCTGACTCCAACAGAGAGAATTTTACGGAGTAGATAATTTAAAAAAAAATTCAAGTAATGAAAATTTCTTTTTCAAAATTTGATTATCGGGTATGAAATGTAAAGTAGGAAAAAATAAAATATTACGTTTACAGCATGTGGAATTACGATTTCACGGCCAGTAATCAAAACTACTTTGTCATGCTAAACGAAACTTCTTTCATATGAAGCAAAAAAAAAAAGAGAGGCACATGATCACTTTATATTTGCGATAAAAATTTTAATGATATCAAATCAAAAGGGTCGTTAAACGAAGAAATATATTATAGTCTTGTCGACTAATTTTTCCACTTTCTAATAAATTAATATTGCACACATTGGGCGCAGTAGTTTTTTTTCTGTATTTTATGCCTCATGTGATTATTTTTTTTTTTCAATTCTAAAAGTGAAAGGAATTTAGGTTTTAAATGTATAAATAAATAAAATTGTTCAGGAAGCAATTAATTTTTCTCACTTTGCAAATTAAGACGAATATATTCGATGATTGAAATTTAATTTAGAAAATTAGAATCAAGATTGATTTGGAAAATTTCCTATTCGATCAAATTCTTAGTTTGTTAATTGGTCACGGTGAATCAATACAGAAAAGTTAAATTAATTAAAATAAAAAAATTAATTAAAAAATAAAAAATAATTTTTAAAAAAAGTAATAAAATTAATTAATAAACAAAATTTCAAAAAAATCCAAAAACTTCTATAAAAATTCTATACAAAATTAATTTACACAAAAAATTCTGTAGACAGTATTTATCACAAAAAAAAATCAGTTTCTAAATGAGAGATTTTTTCTTTCAAAAAAGAAAAAAATTCCAGAACGTATACAACTTTTGAAAAAGGAATATATTTTCTAGACATAAAATTTAAAAAAAAGGAACAAAAACCGTGGATAATTGGTGCCTTGAATAGAGTTCGACTTAAGAATCTTTTTTACAATCGACTCGTTTAAGCAAACTTTGATAAAAAATGAAGTAAAGAGTTTCTCAATATAAGTAAAAGATATACAATTTGATGAAAGGAAAAAAATTGCTCCTTTTTCCTGTCATTCATTTCTTGTCAATTTTTTTCTTTTCTTTTTTTTTATTGAAGAAACGCAAAGTTTAAAAATAAGTATGAAGAAGATTCCGACGAGTTATAAAATTTCAAAACGAAATCATTTATTGTATAAATTCATTGACCGGAAAATTCATGTAAGCTTGGCTTGTTTTTATTATTTCGCTTTCATTGATCAAGCGGAAAAGATTCTCCTTGATAGCAAAAAAATATTCAGGAAAAGATGTCATCTACAATTTATTTTTATGTACCATTATTATTGCCAACTTTTGTCAATCAATCGATTTTTAATTTGCATTTCTAAGATAGTAAAAAAGAAGTTGATATTCTAAATAATAATTCGAAACAAATTTTTTTCGAAAAGAAAAAAAGTGCGTAAAATTAAATTTTCAATTCAATTTTCAAAATTGAATTGTAACATTCAGAATTCTCCAAAAATTTGAAATTCTAATTTTCAACCTTAGATTAATATTTAAATTCAAATTTAAATATTATCCTTGACTTTTTTTTCTGAAAAGGAAAAAAAAATTGAGAAATATTGAATGTCTTTTGAAAAAAATTATTTTTCTTTCAGGAGATCGAGTCGAGGCTCAAAGTTTGCCGAAACAAATTATAGAATCAATTGACGAACAAAATGATCTACTCATATTCCAATCGGTGGTTCAGTCAATGAAGGAATGGGAAAATCATAAAAAAAGTTCTCATCGTAATAAAAGAGAAGTGTCCAGTGTTTGCTATGATGGAGTTGGATGCTTTGAAGATACTGGACCTTTCAGTTATTTGGAAATGCTACCATCACCTCCCAAGGATGTTGGCACCAGGTTATTTCTCAAGAAATTTTTTCATTTTTTTTTCGAAAAATCGAAAATTACCAAAATACATTTTGAAAATCTATTTTTTTTTCTCTATAATTCAGGCTTCGTAATCGATAATTAATTTTATAAAACTATCAAAATGAAGGTTTAAGATTGAAAAAAGTAGTAAAAAAGTAATTTTCAAATTAAATTACATTCAAAAATAGAATAATTATTTTTTAAATAAATATTTAAATACCTATTTATTTATTCACGGGAATTAAAATATTTCAAATGATTTCAATTTAAAGGCTTATCGAAATTTAATTTTTTTTCTAAAAATTATAAATGTAATTTTATCGAAATTTGATCACATTTTTTTTTAAATTGTTTAAATAAAATTATTCAAAATTTTAATCCTTTTGTTTAAAAATAAAAATTTAAATATTAGTTTTATAAAAATTAAAATTTTCAAAGATTTCTATTTAAAAATCTTTTAAAATTTAATTATTTATTATTTATAATAATTAACAACATAACACTTCGAATATTCAATTACTATCTGAAATTCAATTATTTAAATACAAAAATAAATAATTTATTCAATAATTGAATATTTTTCTTAAAATTAAATTCTTTATAAAACTTTATCAAAATTTTTTAAAATAATTGGATTGGTACGAAGAATATCATTATCTACAAGTTTAGAAAATAATTATTTAATAGTAATAAACAAATAAAATAAATTTTTTTTTTTAATAATTCAATTCTTTCGAAGAATTTTAATAAAATTTTGAAGACTTATTGTACTTTTCAAGGATTTCATTAGAATTTTTTTGAAAATAATTGAAATCCTGCAATAAGTTATATTATTTATGAAAATAATTGAATTCTTGTGAAGGATTTTATTAAATTTGTTATTAATAATTGAATTTCCGTAAAATTTTTATTATTTGTAAAAATAATTGAACTTCAGCAAAGAATTTTATTAGTTCTGAAAATAAATAAATTTTTGCGAAGAATTTTATTAAAACTTTTAAAAAGTAATTGAATTTCTAAGAAGCTGGTTATTAATATTTTGGAAAAAAAATTTATTGATTTTTATTTCATTTCAAATTCTATTGAAAATAATTGAAATCCTGCGATGAGTTTTATTTTTTATGAAAATAATTGTAATCTTGAACCGAATTTTATTAAAAATTTAAAAATAATTGAATTCCTGAGAAGAATTATATTTTTTTTTTGAAAATAATTGAATTTTTGTGAAGAATCTTATTGAATATTTTTCAAATAATTGAATTTCCGTAAATATTGTATTATTTGTGAAAATAATTGCACTTCACCAAAGAATTTTATTAGTTCTGAAAATAAATGATTTTCTGCGAAGAATTTTATTACAACTTTTGAAAATAATTGAATTTCCGAGAAGAATTTTATCAATATTTTTGGAAGAAAATTTTGATTTCATTTGAAATTGTATTAAAAATAATGAAAATTCTGCGATGAAAAATAATTGAATTCTTGCTAAAAATTTATTAAAATTTTCGAAAATAATTAAATTCTTGCTAAGAATTTATTAAAATTTTCGAAAATAATTTTAATTCTTACAATGAATTAAATAAATTTTTCTTTAAATATTCAATTCTTTGTAAAAAAAATTGTAATTTAAATAATTGAATTGCTTGGAATATTTTATTAATTTATGAAACTAATGAAATTTTTGCCTAGATTTTTATCCAAATTTTTTTTTATAATTGAATAATTGAAGAATTTGAATAATTGAATATTTATGAATAAATTGAATCAAAACTTAAATTATTATTTTAAAATATTTAAATACTTCTTAATTTTTCGAACAGAGACGAAAATTGATTGAAGAAGTAAGAGAGAAAAATTAAATTCAATATATTTTGTTCTTTTTCAGATTTTTCGTTTATGGTAGCAGGAAAGGAAGATCAATTCCAATGGAGGTTTCAGCAGAAGACATAAGTGAAAAAATTCGTCATGCCATAGATGTAGATTTACCAACTAAAGTCCTTGTACATGGTTTTGGATCTGACTGCGAGCATATTTGGGTTTATGAAATGAGAGCTGCTTTGATGCAAGTTCAAGATTGTAATGTTGGTAAGTTCAAAGAGACCGATCGAAAAGTCCAACAAACAAAAACTTGAATTTCAAGTTGAAATCATATTTTTTAAAATATAATTTCAAACTTCGAAAAATAATTACAAAAAATGGCATTTAAGGATTTTATTTTTTAATTTCTATTTAATATTTAATTATTTTTGATTCGATTTCGATTCGAATTGGAAATTTCGATCTCAACGTTTTATTTTTAAATTATATAATAATTCAAATTAATTTCTTGATACTTTAAATATTTAAATTCTTCTTATTTTGAAATAATAATTTTGCGACTTACGTTCTTTAAAACAGTTTGTGTCGACTGGTCGCCTGGAAGTACGATTCCAAATTACGTGAGAGCAGCGGCAAATACGAGATTAGTGGGTCGACAATTGGCGAAACTAGTTCGAAGTTTGGATGTGCCTTTGCATAAACTTCATCTAATTGGATTTAGTCTTGGAGCTCATGTCGCTGGATTCGCCGGTGCGGAATTAGGAAATGTTTCTAGAATATCAGGTACAAATATCAATCAATACAATCAATTTTTTATTTAAAAAAAAAAAATTTATTAGAATTTGAAAAAAAATATTCATTAGAATTAGAAGAAAAAAAAATTTATTAGAATTTGAAAGAAAATATTCATTAGAATTAGAAGAAATTTATTGGAATTAGAAGAAATATTTTCATTAGAATCCAGAAAAAAAAATAAATTAACTTTCTTTCTTAATCTTTAAAATTGAATTTTCTCACTCAAACCATTAGAAGATATTTATTTCCCTCCAACAATAAATATTCTCACATGTTTCTACTAATGACAATATTTGAATTAAATCTTTAATTTCAGCGATGGTTGCGCCTCTTTTACTTTCTAAATGTTTAATTAAAAGTTTGCAAAGGCCTTTATGGATTTTTTAATAGCTAGATATACTGTCCCCAGGAAAGTTCAATTTATTCGGAAGGATCTAATAAAGAGTTTCTAGAAGAAAGTTGTATAAATATATTTTTTTTCGCTAAACAAACAATCGTTGAAATAATTGGCATTTCAATTTCATCTCTTCACCTATAAGAAAGAATCAACTCTTGTCTTTCTCAAAAAAAAATTCTTTTCGTCTTTTTTCTATTTTCTTTAGAAGATTATTTTCAAAAAGAATTCTTTTTTCGAAAATCATCTTTAGAAGATTATTTTCAAAAATATATTCTTCTATTTTCAAAAATATATTTTCCTCTTTTCCAAAATGTATTCTTCCATTCCCAAAAATAAATTCTTCTATCCTCAAAAATAAATTCTTCTAACTCAAAAAATAGAAAAATTAAAAACGGAAAAATCGAAATGTCTTCGATTTATTCCAAAGGATATGTTAATTTAAAGAAAGGAATATTTCATCTTTCGAGAAGATTGGGTTTACTGGGGAGAATATTTTTAATGAATTTGTCTTTGTTCGCTTACTTGAAATTGGAGAAAATTAGAGAATGGCAATAATTGCAAGGCCAGATGAAAACGTAATCCAGATATTACGTTCACACCTCAGTAATTGAACTTATGTGAAACGGCATTCCATTTTCTGACCTCCTATTTGTGTGTGTGACGCTTCGCTGGTCATTATAACGCACATATTTGCAATCGTATTGCTTGCATTATAATTAGAGTTTTCACTGCCTTTGCGAAGAATAAACCAACTCAACTGCTGACAAAATGAATATCATTAGATTATTTGAGACGCAAATAACACTTTTGTATTGAATTTATTACAGTTATTACTCTTATGAATTTTGACTAGAATTTTTTTTTCTAAAGATTTCTTGAATCAAATATTAATAAATAAATAAATATAATAAATAATAAAATAAATAATAATAAATAAAGAAGAATAAATGATAATAATGAGAAGAAAAAATCGAATTTGAAAAATTTTCGTATTACGATGTTTCCTCCAAGAGGAAACAAAAATAATAATGGAAAATAAATAAAAATAATAATAAAAATAAATAAATAATAAAATATGTTAATTAAAACGACCAGGTGATAAAATAAAAAAAAAATTATTATTTTTGGATAAATATTTCGCTAATCTCTATTTTCCATTTTTAATATTACCTTTTAATTGAGGAAGGAACAAAAAATTAAAATTGGTAAAATTTTGCAGGTTTGGATCCTGCTGGACCACTATTCGAATCTCAGGACCCTCGGGCAAGATTAGACGAGAATGACGCCCAATTTGTGGACGTTATTCACAGCAATGGAGAACAGTTACTTCTTGGAGGTCTAGGTTCCTGGCAACCGATGGGTGACGTCGATTTTTATCCCAACGGTGGTCGAATGCAAAGTGGCTGCTCGAATATTTTCCTAGGCGCTGTGACTGACATCATTTGGTGTATGTATTTTGCTAAAAACAAAATTCGAAGCAAAAAATTCATTACTTTTACTCAAAAAATTTTAATAAAATTCTTCGCTGAAATTTAGTTACTTTTAATGCAATTATTTCCTAAAAAAAATTCTTGTGAGAATTCAATTATTTTTTATAAATTTCAATAAAATTCTATATAATAAGAATTGAATTTTTTTAATACAATTTTAAGTAAATTTGTCTAAACAAAAAAAGGGAGAATTCAATTATTTTTAAAGATTTTAATAAAATTTTTCAAAAGAATTTAATTATTTTTTTAAGAATTGTAATAATATTTCTCGCAGAAATACAATTGTATTATTTTACAAGAAATGTATTACAATTATTTTTTGCAAGATTTCAATTATTTTCATAAGTTATAAAATTCGTTAAAGAAATTCAATTATTTTTAAAAAGTTTTATAAAATTATTCGAAAGAATTCAATTATTTTCAAAAACTTTGATGTAATTTTTTAAAAGAATTCAATTATTTACAATTTTTATACAATTCTTCTTAAAGATTCAATTATTTTCCCAAATAATAAATTTTTTTGTGAAAATACAATTATTTAAAAATATTTTAAATAAGATTCTTCACAGGGATTCAATTATTTAAACAAACAAAAATTCTTCTCAGGAATTCCATTATTTTTAAATTTTCAAAACAAATTTGTTGCAAGAATTCAATTATTTTAATAAGTTATAAAATTCTTCAAAGAAATTCAATTATTTTTAAAAAGTTTTATAAAATTTTCAATAAGAATTCAATTATTTTCAATATAATTTTAACTAAATTTCTGGAAGGAATTTAAATTTTCTTTTCAAGAATTCAATTATTTTCGAATATTTTTATAAAATTCTTGGCAGCAATTCAATTATTTATTTATTTTCGAATATTTTCATATACAATTCTATAAAAGAATTTAATTATTTCAACTTCAAAATTTTTAAAAATTACAAAAATTACAAAAAGCAATGTAAAAAAAATTTAATCCTGAAAACATTGAATTTCAATTTTATTAATTTTTAAATTCAAAATACTTAAAAAGAAGAAATTATCAAAAAAGAATGTCCTCAAAATAATTGAATTCCTCAGAAGAATTTTATAACATATGCAAATAATTCAATTTTTGCGAAGAATTTTATTATTTATGTAAATAATTGAACTCTAACGAAGAAAATTAAAATTCTTTTGAGAAACTTAGTAAAAATTTTATTCAAAATAAATGAATTTTTATAAAGAATTGTATTAAAAACTTTGAAAAGAATTGAATTCTTTCAAAGAATTTTATAAAACTTTTTAAAAATAATTAAATTACTTTGAAGAATTTTATTATTTATAAAAATAATTGAATTCTTGTGACGAATTTCATTACAAATTTTGAAAATCATTGAATTCCTGAGAAGAATTTTTTTGTTTATGAAAATCATTGAATTCTTGCAAACAATTTTATTATTTATGAAAATAATTGAATTCTTTCGAAGAATTTTATAAAACTTTGTAAAAATAATTGAATTCTTTGGAGAAATTTTATTTAAATTGTATTGAAAATATTTAAATATTTGCGAAAAAATGTATTATTTATAAAAAATTGACTTCTTGGAAGAATTTTATTATTTATAAAAAAAATTAACTTCCTGGAAGAATTTTATTATTTTATCAAAATAAATGAATTCTTGCGAAGAATTTTATCGTTGATAAAAATAATAAAGAAAGAATAATTAAATTTTTAAAAATATAAATTTAAACACTTATGAGGAATTTTATTAAAATTTTAAAATTGTGCTGAAACTGAAAATAAATAAATTCTTCCGAAGAACTTATATCAAAATTTTTGAAAATAATTGAATTCTTTTAAATAATTTTATTAAAATTAAAATTGTATAAAAATTTAGAAATAATTGAATTCCTGTGAAGAATTTTATTATTTATGAAAATAATTGAATTCTAACGAAGAAAATTAAAATTCTTCCGAAGTATTTATTATATGTTATGGTTTATAAAAATAATAAAAAACGAATAATTAAATTTGTAAAAATACAAATTTAATTGTTACGAAAGAGATTTCAAAGACAATTTAAATTCTTAAATAATTTTCATTCGTGGAATTTAATTAAAATATGATACTGAAAATAATTGAATTCTTTTAAAGAATTTTATCAAAATTTTCTGAGAACATTAATAGTAATTATGTTCATATTTAGCTCAATAGTACAAAAAGTTTCTAATTCACTTTTTCTCCTCAATAATTAAAAATTGCCACCGATAAAGAGAAAATATGTAATTAATAAAAAAAAGAGAATGTAATTAAAAAAAAAGAAGGTAATTAATGAAAAATAGGAATGGAGACGATTGCAAAAAGAAATAATATGCAAATATTTATGTGAGATTTGAAAAGCAGTTATTCTAATCAGAATCATGAAAGTTCACTTTCTTGGTTGAGAATTTCTTTTGAGAGTATTTCAATAATACGACGAATGACATGTATGTGTCATATGATCATTGATTAGAAAGCAACGTCTCCTTTTCACTTAGTCTCTTGACTTGAATGAGACCTGGGAGGATCACGTTACCTCCTACACGATCCATTTATTCGATTGGATGAAAGTAGGTTGAATTTCTTTAGAACAAATTCAAACCACTTGTCAGTGGATTTTAATTTCAGCCCTCTAGTTTACCACGAGAGGATTTATGTATTCTCATTCTCCTTTAAACTGGATTTTGTCAAACAGTTTTCAATATAAAAAAAATATTCACTTTCATCTCATATCTTTTTTTTTCATTTCAATCTCTTTATTATTTATTTTCTCTTCGAGTTAATTTTTTTGTTATTCATTTCTTTATTATTTATTTTCTCTTCGAGTTATTTATTTTTCTAATCTTTTTGTTCCCTATTTTAATTTTAATTTGTCTGTGTATTCTTAATTTTTATTTTAATCCTTTTTGCTAGTTATTTTAATTTTAATTTTTTCACGTTATATTAACTCACCTGAAATGATAATATTTTAACGGAAATGAATTTTTTCAGCGAGCACTCTTGAGGGGAGATCATTGTGCAATCATCGAAGGGCCTACAAACTCTTCACAGACTCAGTGAGTCCAAAGTGCAGATTTCCAGCGTTTCCTTGTCATCGTGGCTATGATGGTCTCATTAAAGGTGATTGCTTTCCGTGTGGACCGGAAAATTCAGGTCGTCCTTGCGGTGATATGGGATTTTACAGTGACTCATCGCCAGGACGAGGGCAATTGTATCTGATGACGAGAGATGAAGAGCCCTTTTGCGCTAATCAATATCAAGTCAAAGTTTTCAATAGTCGAAGCGAAAGAGCTACGAAGAGTTATGGAAATTTGAAAGTCACTCTTGTTGGTGAGGGATCTTTCAATGAGACTTTCACCATGACCCGCAAGGACGACGAAGAACTTCTCGTTGGTGCCATTCTGCAAAAAATTGTGGTCCCACATCCTGTTGTCACCAATCTCGAAGCCATCGAGGTAAATTCTGCAAAAATAAAACAAAAATCAATTCTAAAATACAAAATACAAAATAAAAATTTGTATTATAATCAAGAAACGAAGTAAAAAAAAGATCAATAGTCGTTAAAATAAAAAATAAGGAAAAAATAGCTAAGGAAATCAAAAGTAAAGTAAAAATAAATATTAAAATCAAAAGTAAAGTAAAAATAGATGTTAAAATCAAAAGTAAAGCAAAAATAGATATTAAAATCAAAAGTAAAGCAAAAAAAAAAAATATTAAAATCAAAACTAAAGGAAAAATAGATTTTAATCTCGAAACTAAAGTAAAAATTGATATTGAAACCAAAAATAAAGTAAAAATAAACATTAAAATGAAAAAAAAAATAGAAAAGCATCACAAAGGCTTTGCATTTAAAGAATTTTTTTTTACTTTTAAAAATTATTACTTCCTCATAGAGGAAGTATTTTGAAATATAATCGTATTTTTAGGGAATTTTAAATTAAAATTTAGTTAGTAATTGAATTTTGCAAAAAAATTAGAATTGAAGTTATTAGCGGAGGATAAGAAAAAGAGTAAATATTTTTAATGAATATAAAATCAATTTTTTGGGATTTTTGTTAATCATCTATAACGAGTTTTTTTAGTCGTCAAATGTTTCGATAGCTACTTTTTTACTACCTTTTCAGTCTTAAAGCCCCTTTTTGCTATTAATTTAAAATTAATTATCGAGTACGAAGTCTGAAAATAAGTAAAAATAATAAGAAAAGAAAAAATATTCTATCAAATTATTAATTTTCAGATAAAATACACAGCGTACCATGGTTGGATCTCCTCGGGCCTGATAACCTGGAATATCGATAAGGTATTAATTGTCGATAGTTTTGGCAAAAGTACATCAATTTGCAAACGTGGTTTAACTCTCGAGTCGGGTAAATCCGTTTATTTGCGACTACAACAAGGCGAGTGCGTTATTCAATCGGAAACTGATAATGTGACAATTATCAACGATCAAATTGTCGACAAAATCCCCCTGGAGAAACAAGGAGGCGGTATTGGTCCATTCACAAGAGATCAAAATTGGGAGAAAAAAGAAACACTCTCAGTTGAATTACTATCAAATGAGAGGACAAGTTTACAAAAAAATTTGGGACCATTCACCAAGGATCAAAATCCAAAACCCTTGGATATAAATAAAGAGAACACGAGAAATACAAATTCAGAGACAAAAATAATTGTGGAAAATTCCGATACAACTAGAAACAGTAATCGTTGGACTTACATTGACATTACCGATAGTGGCGATTCAAATTCATTGGAAAATTTGGAATTTGAATCGGGAAGGGGTTTTTCCAGTCCAAATTTTATTCACAAGACGACAATTACAAAATCTACAAAAAGTCCGATAACAACGGAGACTGTTTTGGATATTCAGGAACCATTGTTGAAAGTTACGAAGAAAGAAACGGCGAGATCGATGAAACTGCCGGAGATAACGGAACCAATTTTAAAATCTCGATCGACTAGGCAAAATATTAAGGCGGCACTTGTGCAGGTAATTATTTGCAGAAATTTTGTTTCACTTTTGCTGTAATAAGTTCCAACTTTTACTAATTCAGACTTATTTAGATTTATTATTTCAATATTTAGAGAATAAGTTTTTTAGAGATATTTTTAAAAATATTATTCTAATTATTATGAATTCGAATCTGGAATTATTTCATTCATGCATAGAATTTTATTAAATTTTTTGAAAATAATTAAATTATTTCAAAGAATTTTATTAAAATTTATAAATCTTAAAATTCAACATTTTTTCTTCTCTTTAATGGGATTAAGCTTCATTATTTTTGTGCTTTTGGAAAATACTTCACTTATTTAATAGTCTCGATTCCTTGGTAAAAAATCTTAAATTATCAAAAATTCGAAAAAATTCAAAAATCCGATTTTCTTAAAATTCAACATTCTTTCTTCTCTTTTATGGGATTAAGCTTCATTATTTTTGTGCTTTTGGAAAATACTTTACTTATTTAATAGTCTCGACTCTTTGGTAAAAAATCTTAAATTATCAAAAATTCGAAAAAATTCTAAAATCCAACTTTCTTAAAATTCAACATTTTTTCTTCTCTTTTATGGGATTTAGCTTCATTATTTTTGTGCTTTTGGAAAATACTTTACTTATTTAATAGTCTCGACTCTTTGGTAAAAAATCTAAAATTATCAAAAATTCGAAAAAATTCAAAAATCCGAATTTCTTAAAATTCAACATTTTTTCCTCTCTTTTATGGGATTTAGCTTCATTATTTTTGTGCTTTTGGAAAATACTTTATTTATTTAATAGTCTCGACTCTTTGGTAAAAAATCTAAAATTATCAAAAATTCGAAAAAATTAAAAAATCCGAATTTCTTAAAATTCAACATTTTTTCCTCTCTTTTATGGGATTTAGCTTCATTATTTTTGTGCTTTTGGAAAATACTTTACTTATTTAATAGTCTCGATTCTTTGGTAAAAAATCTTAAATTATCAAAAATTCGAAAAAATTCAAAAATCCAAATTTCTTAAAATTCAACATTTTTTCTTCTCTTTAATGGGATTAAGCTTCATTATTTTTGTGCTTTTGGAAAATACTTTACTTATTTAATAGTCTCGACTCTTTGGTAAAAAATCTAAAATTATCAAAAATTCGAAAAAATTCAAAAATCCAACTTTCTTAAAATTCAACATTTTTTCTTCTCTTTAATGGGATTAAGCTTCATTATTTTTGTGCTTTTGGAAAATACTTTACTTATTTAATAGTCTCGATTCTTTGGTAAAAAATCTTAAATTATCAAAAATTCGAAAAAATTCAAAAATCCGAATTTCTTAAAATTCAACATTTTTTCCTCTCTTTTATGGGATTTAGCTTCATTATTTTTGTGCTTTTGGAAAATACTTTACTTATTTAATAGTCTCGATTCTTTGGTAAAAAATCTTAAATTATCAAAAATTCGAAAAAATTCAAAAATCCAAATTCCTTAAAATTCAACATTTTTTCTTCTCTTTAATGGGATTAAGCTTCATTATTTTTGTGCTTTTGGAAAATACTTTACTTATTTAATAGTCTCGATTCTTTGGTAAAAAATCTTAAATTATCAAAAATTCGAAAAAATTCAAAAATCCAAATTTCTTAAAATTCAACATTTTTTCTTCTCTTTAATGGGATTAAGCTTCATTATTTTTGTGCTTTTGGAAAATACTTTACTTATTTAATAGTCTCGATTCTTTGGTAAAAAATCTTAAATTATCAAAAATTCGAAAAAATTCAAAAATCCGAATTTCTTAAAATTCAACATTTTTTCCTCTCTTTTATGGGATTTAGCTTCATTATTTTTGTGCTTTTGGAAAATACTTTACTTATTTAATAGTCTCGATTCTTTGGTAAAAAATCTTAAATTATCAAAAATTCGAAAAAATTCAAAAATCCAAATTCCTTAAAATTCAACATTTTTTCTTCTCTTTTATGGGATTTAGCTTCATTATTTTTGTGCTTTTGGAAAATACTTTATTTATTTAATAGTCTCGACTCTTTGGTAAAAAATCTAAAATTATCAAAAATTCGAAAAAATTAAAAAATCCGAATTTCTTAAAATTCAACATTTTTTCCTCTCTTTTATGGGATTTAGCTTCATTATTTTGTGCTTTTGGAAAATACTTTACTTATTTAATAGTCTCGATTCTTTGGTAAAAAATCTTAAATTATCAAAAATTCGAAAAAATTCAAAAATCCAAATTTCTTAAAATTCAACATTTTTTCTTCTCTTTTAAGGGATTTAGCTTCATTATTTTTGTGCTTTTGGAAAATACTTTACTTATTTAATAGTCTCGATTCTTTGGTAAAAAATCTTAAATTATCAAAAATTCGAAAAAATTCAAAAATCCAAATTTCTTAAAATTCAACATTTTTTCTTCTCTTTAATGGGATTAAGTTTCATTATTTTTGTGCTTTTGGAAAATACTTTATTTATTTAATAGTCTCGACTCTTTGGTAAAAAATCTAAAATTATCAAAAATTCGAAAAAATTCAAAAATCCGAATTTCTTAATATTCAACATTTTTTCCTCTCTTTTATGGGATTTAGCTTCATTATTTTTGTGCTTTTGGAAAATACTTTACTTATTTAATAGTCTCGATTCTTTGGTAAAAAATCTTAAATTATCAAAAATTCGAAAAAATTCAAAAATCCAACTTTCTTAAAATTCAACATTTTTTCTTCTCTTTCATGGGATTAAGCTTCATTATTTTTGTGCTTTTAAAAAATACTTTACTTATTTAATAGTCTCGATTCCTTGGTAAAAAATCTTAAATTATCAAAAATTCGAAAAAATTCAAAAATCCAAATTTCTTAAAATTCAACATTTTTTCTTCTCTTTTATAGGATTTAGCTTCATTATTTTTGTGCTTTTGGAAAATACTTTACTTATTTAATAGTCTCGATTCTTTGGTAAAAAATCTTAAATTATCAAAAATTCGAAAAAATTCAAAAATCCAACTTTCTTAAAATTCAACATTTTTTCTTCTCTTTCATGGGATTAAGCTTCATTATTTTTGTGCTTTTGGAAAATACTTTACTTATTTAATAGTCTCGATTCCTTGGTAAAAAATCTTAAATTATCAAAAATTCGAAAAAATTCAAAAATCCGATTTTCTTAAAATTCAACATTCTTTCTTCTCTTTTATGGGATTAAGCTTCATTATTTTTGTGCTTTTGGAAAATACTTTACTTATTTAATAGTCTCGATTCTTTGGTAAAAAATCTAAAATTATCAAAAATTCGAAAAAATTCAAAAATTCGATTTTCTTAAAATTCAACATTTTTAGCTCTCTTTTATGGGATTTAGCTTCATTATTTTTGTGCTTTTGGAAAATACTTTACTTATTTAATAGTCTCGAATCTTTGGTAAAAAATCTAAAATTATCAAAAATTCGAAAAAATTCAAAAATTCGATTTTCTTAAAATTCAACATTTTTTCCTCTCTTTTATGGGATTTAGCTTCATTATTTTTGTGCTTTTGGAAAATACTTTATTTATTTAATAGTCTCGACTCTTTGGTAAAAAATCTAAAATTATCAAAAATTCGAAAAAATTCAAAAATCTGAATTTCTTAAAATTCAACATTTTTTCCTCTCTTTTATGGGATTTAGCTTCATTATTTTTGTGCTTTTGGAAAATACTTTATTTATTTAATAGTCTCGACTCTTTGGTAAAAAATCTAAAATTATCAAAACTTCGAAAAAATTCAAAAATCCGAATTTCTTAAAATTCAACATTTTTTCCTCTCTTTTATAGGATTTAGCTTCATTATTTTTGTGCTTTTGGAAAATACTTTACTTATTTAATAGTCTCGATTCTTTGGTAAAAAATCTTAAATTATCAAAAATTCGAAAAAATTCAAAAATCCAACTTTCTTAAAATTCAACATTTTTTCTTCTCTTTCATGGGATTAAGCTTCATTATTTTTGTGCTTTTGGAAAATACTTTACTTATTTAATAGTCTCGATTCCTTGGTAAAAAATCTTAAATTATCAAAAATTCGAAAAAATTCAAAAATCCGATTTTCTTAAAATTCAACATTCTTTCTTCTCTTTTATGGGATTAAGCTTCATTATTTTTGTGCTTTTGGAAAATACTTTACTTATTTAATAGTCTCGATTCTTTGGTAAAAAATCTAAAATTATCAAAAATTCGAAAAAATTCAAAAATTCGATTTTCTTAAAATTCAACATTTTTAGCTCTCTTTTATGGGATTTAGCTTCATTATTTTGTGCTTTTGGAAAATACTTTATTTATTTAATAGTCTCGATCTTTGGTAAAAAATCTAAAATTATCAAAAATTCGAAAAAATTCAAAAATCCGAATTTCTTAATATTCAACATTTTTTTTCCTCTCTTTTATGGGATTTAGCTTCATTATTTTTGTGCTTTTGGAAATACTTTACTTATTTAATAGTCTCGACTTCTTTGGTAAAAAATCTTAAATTATCAAAAATCGAAAAAATTCAAAAATCCAACTTTCTTAAATTCAACATTTTTTCTTCTCTTTCATGGGATTTAAGCTTCATTATTTTTGTGCTTTTTAAAAATACTTTACTTATTTAATAGTCTCGATTCTTGGTAAAAAATCTTAAATTATCAAAAATTCGAAAAATTCAAAAATCCAACTTTCTTAAAATTCAAATTTTTTCTTCTCTTTTATAGGATTAGCTTCATTATTTTTGTGCTTTTGGAAAAATACTTTACTTATTAATAGTCTCGATTCTTTGGTAAAAATCTTAAATTATCAAAAATTCGAAAAAATTCAAAAATCCAACTTTCTTAAAATTCAACATTTTTTCTTCTCTTTCATGGATTAAGCTTCATTATTTTTGTGCTTTTGGAAAATACTTTACTTATTTAATAGTCTCGATTCCTTGGTAAAAAATCTTAAATTATCAAAAATTCGAAAAAATTCAAAAATCCGATTTTCTTAAAATTCAACATTCTTTCTTCTCTTTTATGGGATTAAGCTTCATTATTTTTGTGCTTTTGGAAAATACTTTACTTATTTAATAGTCTCGATTCTTTGGTAAAAAATCTAAAATTATCAAAAATTCGAAAAAATTCAAAAATTCGATTTTCTTAAAATTCAACATTTTTAGCTCTCTTTTATGGGATTTAGCTTCATTATTTTTGTGCTTTTGGAAAATACTTTACTTATTTAATAGTCTCGAATCTTTGGTAAAAAATCTAAAATTATCAAAAATTCGAAAAAATTCAAAAATTCGATTTTCTTAAAATTCAACATTTTTTCCTCTCTTTTATGGGATTTAGCTTCATTATTTTTGTGCTTTTGGAAAATACTTTATTTATTTAATAGTCTCGACTCTTTGGTAAAAAATCTAAAATTATCAAAAATTCGAAAAAATTCAAAAATCCGAATTTCTTAATATTCAACATTTTTCCTCTCTTTTATGGGATTTAGCTTCATTATTTTTGTGCTTTTGGAAAATACTTTATTTATTTAATAGTCTCGACTCTTTGGTAAAAAATCTAAAATTATCAAAAATTCGAAAAAATTCAAAAATCCGAATTTCTTAATATTCAACATTTTTCCTCTCTTTTAAGGGATTTAGCTTCATTATTTTTGTGCTTTTGGAAAATACTTCACTTATTTAATAGTCTCGATTCTTTGGTAAAAAATCTTAAATTATCAAAAATTCGAAAAAATTCAAAAATCCGAATTTCTTAATATTCAACATTTTTCCTCTCTTTTAAGGGATTTAGCTTCATTATTTTTGTGCTTTTGGAAAATACTTTACTTATTTAATAGTCTCGATTCTTTGGTAAAAAATCTTAAATTATCAAAAATTCGAAAAAATTCAAAAATCCGAATTTCTTAATATTCAACATTTTTCCTCTCTTTTAAGGGATTTAGCTTCATTATTTTTGTGCTTTTGGAAAATACTTTACTTATTTAATAGTCTCGATTCTTTGGTAAAAAATCATAAATTATCAAAAATTCGAAAAAATTCAAAAATCCAAATTTCTTAAAATTCAACATTTTTTCTTCTCTTTAATGGGATTAAGCTTCATTATTTTTGTGCTTTTGGAAAATACTTTACTTATTTAATAGTCTCGATTCTTTGGTAAAAAATCTTAAATTATCAAAAATTCGAAAAAATTCAAAAATCCGAATTTCTTAATATTCAACATTTTTCCTCTCTTTTAAGGGATTTAGCTTCATTATTTTTGTGCTTTTGGAAAATACTTTACTTATTTAATAGTCTCGATTCTTTGGTAAAAAATCATAAATTATCAAAAATTCGAAAAAATTCAAAAATCCAAATTTCTTAAAATTCAACATTTTTTCTTCTCTTTAATGGGATTAAGCTTCATTATTTTTGTGCTTTTGGAAAATACTTTACTTATTTAATAGTCTCGACTCTTTGGTAAAAAATCTTAAATTATCAAAAATTCGAAAAAATTCAAAAATCCGAATTTCTTAATATTCAACATTTTTTCTTCTCTTTAATGGGATTAAGCTTCATTATTTTTGTGCTTTTGGAAAATACTTTACTTATTTAATAGTCTCGACTCTTTGGTAAAAAATCTAAAATTATCAAAAATTCGAAAAAATTCAAAAATCCGAATTTCTTAATATTCAACATTTTTCCTCTCTTTAATGGGATTAAGCTTCATTATTTTTGTGCTTTTGGAAAATACTTTATTTATTTAATAGTCTCGACTCTTTGGTAAAAAATCTAAAATTATCAAAAATTCGAAAAAATTCAAAAATCCGAATTTCTTAATATTCAACATTTTTCCTCTCTTTTATGGGATTTAGCTTCATTATTTTTGTGCTTTTGGAAAATACTTTATTTATTTAATAGTCTCGACTCTTTGGTAAAAAATCTAAAATTATCAAAAATTCGAAAAAATTCAAAAATCCGAATTTCTTAATATTCAACATTTTTCCTCTCTTTTAAGGGATTTAGCTTCATTATTTTTGTGCTTTTGGAAAATACTTCACTTATTTAATAGTCTCGATTCTTTGGTAAAAAATCTTAAATTATCAAAAATTCGAAAAAATTCAAAAATCCAAATTTCTTAAAATTCAACATTTTTTCTTCTCTTTAATGGGATTAAGCTTCATTATTTTTGTGCTTTTGGAAAATACTTTACTTATTTAATAGTCTCGATTCTTTGATAAAAAATCTTAAATTATCAAAAATTCGAAAAAATTCAAAAATCCAAATTTCTTAAAATTCAACATTTTTTCTTCTCTTTAATGGGATTAAGCTTCATTATTTTTGTGCTTTTGGAAAATACTTTACTTATTTAATAGTCGCGAATCTTTGGTAAAAAATCTAAAATTATCAAAAATTCGAAAAAATTCAAAAATCCGAATTTCTTAAAATTCAACATTTTTTCCTCTCTTTTATGGGATTTAGCTTCATTATTTTTGTGCTTTTGGAAAATACTTTATTTATTTAATAGTCTCGACTCTTTGGTAAAAAATCTAAAATTATCAAAAATTCGAAAAAATTCAAAAATCCGAATTTCTTAATATTCAACATTTTTCCTCTCTTTTATGGGATTTAGCTTCATTATTTTTGTGCTTTTGGAAAATACTTTATTTATTTAATAGTCTCGACTCTTTGGTAAAAAATCTAAAATTATCAAAAATTCGAAAAAATTCAAAAATCCGAATTTCTTAATATTCAACATTTTTCCTCTCTTTTAAGGGATTTAGCTTCATTATTTTTGTGCTTTTGGAAAATACTTCACTTATTTAATAGTCTCGATTCTTTGGTAAAAAATCTTAAATTATCAAAAATTCGAAAAAATTCAAAAATCCAAATTTCTTAAAATTCAACATTTTTTCTTCTCTTTAATGGGATTAAGCTTCATTATTTTTGTGCTTTTGGAAAATACTTTACTTATTTAATAGTCTCGATTCTTTGATAAAAAATCTTAAATTATCAAAAATTCGAAAAAATTCAAAAATCCAAATTTCTTAAAATTCAACATTTTTTCTTCTCTTTAATGGGATTAAGCTTCATTATTTTTGTGCTTTTGGAAAATACTTTACTTATTTAATAGTCGCGAATCTTTGGTAAAAAATCTAAAATTATCAAAAATTCGAAAAAATTCATAAATCCGAATTTCTTAAAATTCAACATTTTTTCCTCTCTTTTATGGGATTTAGCTTCATTATTTTTGTGCTTTTGGAAAATACTTTATTTATTTAATAGTCTCGACTCTTTGGTAAAAAATCAAAAATTATTAAAAATTATCAAAAATCCGAAAAATCGAATTGCTTAAAATTCAACATTTTTTTTTGTCTTTTATGCCATTTAGCTTTATTATTATTTGAATTTTTATTTAAGAGAAAAAATGGAAAACTGAAAAAATTTAGAAACTTTTAAAAATTCCAGGCCTTTTCCATGATTTCCCTGATTTCCAGAAGCCTTTTAAAAATTCCATACCATTTTCATGATTTTCCAGATTCTGTAGGAACCCTGCTTTTGTCTGACTTTCTTCTAAATTATCGAATTCAGTGATTTCTGTGGTGAATTTGGTTAAGTTGTAAAGTGATTAATTTCTATTTTAATTCGTTTTTTTTTTGAATGTAGAAAATCTGATGTTAATTTAATTCTTTTTTCGTTATGCACGGCAAAAAATATTTAGCTGGATGAACTACAGATTTCACTTTAGTAGCGAAATTTTTCAGTGCTTCAATTAATACTTTCGTTATTCTAGAGAAACTTATCGCTATTTCAAGTAAAACTTTTTTCATTGTGTAATAATTATTATTTCTTTGAAAAGTATTTAATTTAAAATGGCTTTATAAAATAAGCAATGCAAAAGATGACCCAGATACTAATTGTAATTGTTCTAGCCATAGTTTAAGTCTAGTAATGTAAATTTTATTTAAATTGAGACCATTGAGTGAAATTATTTAAATTTTAGTTAGTTAAATCTCTTTGTTAGGTTATAATAATTATTTCTTTAAAATTTTTTAAATTGTTTAAAATAAGCAGCCCCATATAACATTCCCGCGCGCTTGCGCGCGGATAGTTTGGCTAGTTAATTAGTTAATAAGTGAATTTTTCCAAATTTTAAATCTGAACTGATTCAAAAATTGAACTTGATTTTTGAAAATAAAAAAATTGAAATCTCCCTAATAATAATAATAAATAAATATCGCATAAAATTTGCTAGAAAATAAATAAAATTAGAAAACGAATTTTTAAATAAATTGCTTACTTTTAGGATGAGAAAATCGATGAATCGCCCACGACGACAAGATCATTTACAGTTCAATTTCTTCCTGAGAGACTGGCGGGTATTTTGGCCCAAGCTGAAAGATACGCAAGGCAAACACTCTTACCTCTCATTTCTCAATATACACCGAGTTTCGTCGGCATTGGAAGAAACGAGCGACCGAAATATTTCCCACCCCTAGGAGACATTGATGACAAAAAACAAGAGAAAGAAATTCCCCTTAAGAAATCTACTCAAACTGTCGAAAACTTGGATTCAAAAACAAATCTGGTTAGTGCAGGAAATAAAATTGTATTTTTCTATAAAAAGGGAAAAAACTTAATAAAATAAATAAATAATAATGAATAACAAAATAAATTTATCTTTTTTCAGACATCAGAAGAAACAAAATCGAACAACGAAAATTCTACTTCAACCGAGAATGTAATACATTCGAAAAAAGTCGGCAACGATTGGGTTCCAATAAATCGCGAGTCCAAGCAGATCTCAAATTACGCTAAGACTAATAATAATAATAATAATTTAAATACAACCCAGGAAAAATCTTTTACCGGACTTTGGTTAAATGAAGACGATGGCACTTGGACACCACAGTCCGAGGATGCCGAAGCTGGTCCAGAAACAAAAATTGACGACTGGGTACCAATAACAGACAAGGGACGAAATGAAAAATCATTAAAAATTTCCACTGTTCAAATTTCGGAAAATTCCCCAACAGGTAAATAGAAAAAACAAAAAATAGGTAAATAGAAAAAACAAAAATAGATAAATAGAAAAAACAAACTTAGATAAATAAAAGAAAGAAAAATAGGTAAAAATAAAAAAAAATTCTCAACTTATTTTCTAATTTTCAGAAAAAAGTGAAAAAGTAACAACCAGCAATCCAACTAAAATTGATGATAACACAACACCGAATATTGAAGAAAGAAAATTCATTCCCCTAACAGATCTTGAAAATCAGGAGAAAATTCAACTGAAAGAAAACGAAGAAAGTCAAATAGTGGAAAATTCCTCGACTCATATTCAAAGGATTCCTCAAACAACAGTACCGAGTAAAATAGAAACTCCCGAGGCAAGATCAGTCCTCTTTCCATACGTTTACGAGCGTAAAAATGATCCTCGAACTCGATACATACCCCTAATTCCAGAGGAGGATCTTGGCTTAAAAAAATCCCTCACCGAACGTGATCGTTAATAAATATGTTTTTTCTCCTTAAAAAAAAAAACAATTTTTAAATTTCTAGTTTCTAAGCTCTTTAAGTTATAAATACGACTGACTACATAAGTTTTATAAATTAAGCACTATTTTTTTCTACAAATTCTACTTTTTATTTGCAACAAAAAAAAAAAGAAAATTGATCAAAAAAATAAATCAAAATAAATTTTAAAATGTGTTAACTCTTAACACTCAATTTTTTGCAAATTAATACCACAAAAAAGAGAGCAAATAAAAAAAATCATGTGATTTCGAGTATTAAAAATAAACGTTTCGTTTTTCGTAAAAACTGGGAGCCCTTAACTTTATTTTTTTTTCTCTTGTATATAGGAATTTTTACAATATAATATATATATATTATATATAGCTTCGCTGAAATTATCTTTTATGTTCGTTCGTTACTGTTATTGATTAATAATTGTTGTTATTTGTAATCTAAAAACTAGTACCGTCATAGATATTCGTCATTCGCGTGTGTCGATTCATTCCAAAAAACAAGCGGAGGACGAAACCAAATACGCTTGGGACGTAAAATAATATATTTTTTAAATCTACTTTTGTAAATACACTGCACGATGAGTCTTCGAAAAAAAGAAAAAAATAAAATATGTACAACAGAAGGAAAAAGAAACTCCATAAAAAATAAATTTTAAATTCTATTTTTACTTTTTTGCTTTTAAATAAATAAAAAAAAGGAAAAAAAAAATTCTTTCTCTTTCCTCAGATATGCCACTCCTGATATGTCCATCTGAAAATGCCCGCTTTTGAAAAAATTCTTGGCTCTCAAAGTCAAAGTATCTCAGGTACCGTATTGCGTGGCAAAATAACATCATTCTATAATCTTAACTTAACAATCAACTGGTTTATAAACCACTTCTTTTTTTTTTTTAATTTGTGGCTTCAAGGAGCGCGAATACTATAGAATTAAATTTAAATTTCAAGTATTTAGTAAAACACGCAGTCTTATTTGACGCAAAGTTCATTAACGAACTCTCGCGATCAAAAAACAGTTAACAATTAATTAGCTTAGTAAAAATTTGGTACAACTTGTCTAAAAACAGTACGACGGAATATTATTGAGTCTCACGCTTGTTTTTTTTTCTCGATTTTTGTTTCTAATTTGTTTCTAACTTTTTTTCTCTTTTTTTTTATTTTCTTTTGTATAAATTTCGCTTTCTCTATTCTTTTTGTTTATATATTTTGCGTTTTCTGCATAATTGTTATTGTTCTTATTAAAAGTATAAAGTATTTTCTTTAAAATGCACCAGTAAATTACGATTCATAATAGACAATTCCTTTAGATTTGAAAATTTCTTTCTTTCTATTTTTTTTGGTGCTTATTGCTGTGAATCATCGTACTTTTCTATTCTTCCTTAAGCTGCTAAATACTTATTTATGTGTATATATATTTATATATAAAATATAAGGCCGCCTCATTAATACACTGACTAGATCAGTTACATATTATATCCTCTTTTTTTTACCTTGGCAATCTCTCTGGTCGAAGTTTAAAAATTTTCTTTTTTTTCACCGATAAAAATACATGGGATGTGACTCTGACAACAAAATATACTATTTGTCTCTTTGATTCGAACACATCAATACTTTTTTTTTATTTTTTTCGCACTTCGCGCGGAGAATCGGAAGAAGAGGACGGTGCCACTCGAATCACAATTCCAATTTTTTGAAAAACGCCTTCAGGACATTTTTTTTTTAATGAAATTGATATTCTAACGATAACAGGGTCTAAATTATTTTTTAAACTAAATTTCATTTTCTAAATTTCCATTTAATTTTATTGCAAATAAAATTTATCTAAAGATACTATCTAATCAAATAAAAATTTTCTTTCATAAATAAAATTTATTAAATTATTGAATAATTTCTGTATTTAATTTTGACTATTTCGTTCAATTAATTTCTCTTTATAATTTACTAAATTTATTTCTCTTCATAATTTACTAAATTTTTTAATAACTCTTTAAATTTACTATAGTTTTCATTTCTTTTCAAATTTACTAAATTTTCATTTTTTTGTTAAATAATTCACTAAAGTTTTCTTTTTTTAAAAAAAAACTTTTAGACCCTGCGATTTAAGCGTGTAACATAGGCCTATTCTATTATTTACGAAGACATCTGACATTTGACACTGTATTGACGCTGAAGCGTAGAACTGAGACGTCTGAAGTAATAAAAATCGAGGTAGGATCTAACGGAAAAGCAAAAAAAAGTGAAAGTTTTTATTACTTCCTAATAGAATGAATCTATCTAATTAATCAATGCATTTTTACAACATTACGGCGAGCAACAATATTGTCAACTTAATGTCGAAATGAAGAAACAGTAGCACGTTTACTTTTCGCAAATCTGCAGTCAAATTATTTTTTTCTTTCTCTCCAAACGAAATATGAGTTTATTCCAAAAATTTTTCAATTCTTCCAAATTCTTCCAAAAATTTTTTGCAAATTGAATTTCGACAAAGAATAAAAAAAAAAAAAAAAATCGACAGAAAATTAAAAAAGAGATCAATTTTAGAAATTACAGTTCAATTAGCGAAAACTGTTTAAAACTGATTGAAACTAATTAAAACTAATCGAAAGCAGAATAAGAGAAGACAAATAAAACAAGAGAATTGAAAAAAGCGGATTCGAAAAACTAAAGTTAATAACAAAAGCCAATTGGGAAAAATTTAGGAAGAAAAATTTACTTGGAATCTCCCGAAAATGCTGCAGATCACTTGCATGTTGCGCATAAAAGTTCCAATATTCGCATTTTATATTTCATATACAATTGTCGAATTTACGGAGTTCGATTCGAGAAATACATTGAGTCGTAAAAAAGTAACATCACAGTCAATTAAATTTATGAGCATTTGTTTTGCTTATTTGCCTTTTATGCGTAACAGGCTTAATTTTTTTTTGGTAAAGAATTCTTTTCACAAGAAGAAACTCTCAGTTAACTCTCAGTTACTTTTCGGGACCATTTAGTAGCAATTTTCATTAATTCTGACAATATTAACACAATCGAAATATCGATCAAAATATTGATCAAAATATTGATCAAAATAGAGATCAAAATATTGATCAAAATAAAGATAAAAATATTAATCAAAATACAGATCAAAATACTGTCAATCAAAACAGAATAAAAATAAAATCGACAAAAATACAGTCAATGAAAATTGATGAAAATAAATAAAAATGTTAGCGATTAAGAAATACCATTTGGTCACCAGCGAGTAACGACAAAATTTCCTCGAGTTAGTTAAAAAGAAAAGAAAAAATACTATACGATAGAGGAGGCGTCGAGAAATCTGTTTCATCATTTCTTATCAAAAAGAGGCAGTTTACTTCTGACAGCGCCTTCGCAAACGACAAGTCGCTGAGCCGCCGAAATGTTACAGAAAGGCATCGATCCCTCTAAGCTCGCTCGCAATAAAGCCATTCGATTAGGACCCACATCGAATCCATGATCGCCTAATCTTAAACTACCTGCAGTCGCCTGCTTCCTCTCGAAATATTCGACAATTTTCGATATTGTCTTACTCGTCGAACCAATGCCACTCAGTCTATCCTCCCAACAAGAATCACCACCACCTAAACTCGCAATATCCTCCGAGGAATCAGTGTAAATCGAACTCGTTCTATGATCATCGAGAAGAAATAAACTGCTAGCCGCCGAACTGCTCAATGTCGAAGCGTGCCGTCGATTCGGTGGCTCCGGACTCAAATCCTCGCCAACACAACTCCAAAAACCCGATTCACAGCTTCCCCGTCTTCTTGGTTCCCAACCATCTCTAAATAACGGATGGGCAAATAAACAGGCAGCGCCAACTTTCGTAGCAACCTACAAGAAAATAATTTTTTATTATTTCGTCGACGAGACAAAAAATATTTCAGGGTTGCCACGCTTTTGCTCATTTCAAAATTCCCTGACTTTTCCAAATTAAAAAACAGAATTTTTTTAGGTTTTTAAAACTACATTTGTTGACAACAAAAATTTAATATTTCTTTTCCCTTGAATTCCAGACAAAATTCTTACTACTTGACTCTAAAGAATATTCTCATTCAGTTTAATAATTATTACTCAGAAAAATTTTCTAAAATTTCAAATTAAAACCTTTTGAAGTTAATCTATTTATGAAAATTGTAAACACAACTCCTTTAAAATTGAATTAATTTTGAAATATTTAAGTAAAATTAGATTTCAAGAATAAACTTGTGCTCATATTTATTTAACTTTAGAAAACTATAATTTTCCAGGATTCCGATCAAAATTCCCTGACTTTTCCAGGTTTTTTTTTAAAGGTTTATAAAATTCCCTGAAATTTCCAGATTTTCCAGATTTCTAGGTTGTGTGGCAACCCTTTATTTCCATTTTTTAAATTTAATTTCAAGAAGCAACAAAAAAAATTAAAAAGTTTTCTAAAAAATCTCGCCTTTTTTTCCCATTTTTTCCTCGCTGTTGGACTACTCGGCTCTGAGTTTGGTTTCTTTCGCTCGAGAATTTTTGCAATACTGTCATTTTGAGCGGGTTTGAATTTCGAAGTGCAGCCATCGGTGACACTTGGCCTCACGTCCTCCAAACTTGGCAATTCAAGACAACTCGAGAATAAATCGCCGAGAATTTTCTTCACACCCCCTAAAGCGTGGAATGGATTTGCAGTCATTGGTCTATAATGTGGATCTCTTCGACTCGCGAGTTCAGCGACTCTTCTCGTTAAATGACATCGCGCCTTATCGGAAGGTGTCGCATTATCACAACCCCTCGCGTCAGCAGAATGACTCCTCAATCTCGCCGCTCTTCGCTTCGTCGGTCGACCCTCCCTCACTATTTCCTCAACACTCGACATTAAACAATTCTCCACCGTCTGACTGCTATTCCCTTTACTCTCCTCCTCGTAATTTCCAATCAAGTTGTCCAGCGTCGACGCAATCTCCGGAAATGTTGGTCGCGATTTCGGTTCATACTGCAAATAATTCCTGAGTTTATAAACTCCAATACAGAAAATTCCTCAACACAAGCTTTGCACTCGATTGTTAATTTTAAAAAAGTATTTATATTATTTTCTTGACTTTTTCACAATTTTTATCAAAAATATTTACTAATTTTTTTATCCAGCTAAAAATTTCAATTCTAAAATTTTTGCAAAATTAAATTAAATTATTTTCCAAATTTTAATTTAAAATTCCTCCAATATGTTATTATATTTCAAAATAATTTTTAAAAGTAGGTACATAAAAGAATAAAATTTTTAAAACAATTGAATTTTTAAGAAGAATTTTATTAATATTTTTAAACAAAAATGATTGATTTAGATTTAATTAAAAATTTTATTAAAAATAATTGAAATCCTGCGATATTATTTATAAAAATAATTGAATTCTTGGAAAGGATTTATTAAAATTTTCGAAAATAATTGAATTTTTGCAATAAATTATATAAATTTGTTTTCAAACATTCGATTTTTTCTAAAACTTTTATGAAAATTTTAAAATAATTGAAATTACTGTTACAAGAAAAATTTTATTCGTATTTTAGAATAAAAATTGACAGATTTAGATTACATTTAAAATTCTTCAATTACTTTTATTATTCATAAAAATTATTCAATTCTTGCGAAGAATTTTATCAACATTTTGTTTTAATAATTGAATTCTTTTGGGAAATTTTATTAAGATAGTAGATATGGAAAATAATTGAATTTCGAAATTTTTTTGAAAATAATTGAATCGCTTCAAAGAATTTAATGAAAATTTTTTGAATTGCTTCTAAGAATTTGATTAAAATTGTTGAAAATAATTTTTTTATTTCAACTATTAGTGAATTTAAAGTAATGCAAATTCTCAAAGAAAAAGTTGCGTTTAGTGTCACAAATTTAAAAAAAGTAAAAAAAGTAGTAAAAAAAATAAACAAGTAAAAATAAATAAATAAGATAGTAGCTAATAGTAAAAAAAAGTTGTAAATAGTAGTTTTTAATAGACGAGTGCGAAGCCTGTCAATATATTTATCAATTCATCAATAAAAGAAATAAAAGCAAGAAACAAAAGAAAAAAAGAAAAAGTACAAGAAACAAAAGAAAAACCAAGAAACAAACAAGAAAGGAGCGAAAAATCATTGTTTCTATTTACCGTGCAACAATGAAAAGCAAGTTGTAAAAAGGCAGGTGGCGGATCGGCAGCTGCACAAATTTCAGCCACGGCTAAATAATCGAGACCAAAATTATCCGAGCGTGGTAGAACATCAGGATCGGCGGGCACTCGTCCGATTAATTCACAGACAACAATTCCAAATGAGAAGATATCAGAGCGATGATCGTACCATTGACCCTTGAGACATTCCGGTGACATCCAATAGGGACTGCCAACGGTGCTCAATCGATAGCCAGAATTTGGATCGGGAATTTTTGCCGCTAAACCAAAATCACCAACAACTGCGCTCATATCACCCGAATTCTCATCCTTCTTTATAAGAACATTCTTAGACGTCAGGTCTCTGTGAAAAATCCCCCGACTATGTAAATACGCCATGCCACGTGCTACGTCCCTCGCCAAATTCATTCTTATTAAATGTGGCAATCGTATTTGTTTCGACATTATCAGTTGCTCCAAACTTCCCCCATTTATATACTCAGTCAGTGCGTGAAGTTGACCCTCGTGGACGCAAACACCCATAAATCTGTTGACATCGAAACAATTTTATTAACCAAACGCCCAATTCACAAAAATTCAGATTCAAAAATCAATTCCAAAAAATCTCAAAGTCAATTAACATACCAAATTATAATTTTAACATTTAATAATTTTTGTAAATTGTACAAAAATTATTTTCTAGAAAAAAAAAACTTTGAAAAAAATGGAATTAGATCCAATAATTTCGCAAATATATGAAAATTATTTTCTAGAGAAAAAAAACCTTTTGGCGAATAGAAAATTTTGGAAAAAAAGAGAAATAGACCGATCATAATTTCGAAAATGTAGAAAAATAATTTTTCCACAAAGAAAATTTGCAAAAATTCCCCTCAACTTTCAAATTGGACATTGAAATAGAACCGAAAGAATTTCTTTTAGCCAATAATCGTGAGAATTTTTTTTTTTTTAAGTGAAATTTAAACAGATGTGAAATAACAGCGGAGGAAAGCAAGTGCCGTTCACGCATGAGAGTGAATTTTTTTTATATATATACGTACGAAGCTCAAACACTTGGAAATGAGAACGAGGCAGTGAACTTTTATAAAAATAATACCTCACCGTCTAGTTTGTTGAAAGCGGAGGGAAATTAATCTCATCGTCGACCTATACTTTACATACATATAAATATTTCTCTCTTTCTCTCTCCTTCTCTCTGCAATATTCCTAAAGGAATGTTTGTTGTCGTAGAAATGTACTGTAAATTTTCTTAACGATAAGGTGAGCTTAAAAAGAATGGCCTCGAGAGAGTGAAATCCAATTAATGCTCGTGTATATATATTTCGCAGAGTTTTTTGCAGTGTTTTAAATTCATTGCTTAAACGAATTCACTAGTAATAAGAAAATCGATAAGACACTATATACAACCAAGAGACTCGATACTCTTGACGCAAAAAAAATAAAAATAAAAATAAAGAAAAAAAGAAGAAAAAAACTGGTCAATCGAGCAATTTACCTATTTATCCGCTTCATTTCACCAAATGTTTTTCTCGACTAGAAAATACCCCCTTGAGTTTAGTCTATATCCAAGTTTTATACAATCTTCTTTAATTTTCATTAGATTCGAATTATTATTAAAGAGAAAAATAATTTCCGTCTGGAGAAAAAAAATTATAAAAGTTTACTTTTCCAGCGAGAAGGAAAAATCGAAAAACAAAAAATTAACTAAAACGAAGTAATTGAGAAATTGAGAATAACTAAAAAAAGATTTTTGAAAATAATAACGAAATTTGAATAATAAAAAAATGAAAAAAATATATGAAAAAATTCTTTCAAGGAAAAAAAATTGTTACAAATAATTATAAAATTAAAAACAAAAGTAAAAAATTGAAAAAATGAAAATAGGAATAAAAATTTACTATTTAGGAAATCAATTATCGAATTTTCAAAAGTAGATTTGAAAATGACATTTCAAAAATAACAACTCTGCCGAGTATGATTTTAAATTAAAATAAACTCTCTTTTCTCTTAAAATTATAATCGAAATAAAAAATTTAAATTCAAAAAATTATTTTGGTTTTGCTGATATAAATAAATGAATAAAATTAAAAATTGACTATTTAGGAAATAAATTTCAAAAAGTAGATTCAAAAGCGATATTTCAAAAATAACTACCCGATAAGTAAAATTTTAAAATCCGAAGGAAATTCTTTTTGATTTTTAAAATTTTAATCGAAATTAGAAATAAAAATCTACCAATTTATGAATTAAATTTTCAAAAGTAAATTTAAATATTATATTTCAAAAATAATTACTCGGCAACTAAAATATTGAAATTAGAATAAAATTACCTTTGCTCTAATCGGTTTGTAATTGAAATAAAATATAATTGAAAAATTGGGAAAAATGGAAATAAGAATATAAATTTACCATATTTATGAATTAAATTTCAAAAAGTAGATTTCAAAGTGATATTTTAAAAATGTAAGTAAACTTTTAAAATTAGGAAAAGTTCTCTTCGCTTTTAAAATTCCAATCTAAATAAAAAATAAAATTTGAAAAAATACAAATCTACCAATTTATGAATTAAATTTCCAAAAGTAAATGTAAATATATTTAGAAAATAATTACTCAACAAATAAGATTTTTAAATCAGAATAAAATACATTTTTGCTTTAAAGATTTTAATCGAAATAAAAAATAAATTATAAATATTTAAAAATTGATTCACAAATTGAAAAAATGGAAATAAGAATAAAAATTTACCATTTGTGAATTAAATTACAAAAAGTAGATTTGAAAGTGTTATTTCAAAAATATCAACTACTCGCCAAGTAAGCTTTTAAAATCACAAAAAAATTTCATTTTTTCTTTTAAAATACTAATCGAAATAAAAAAATAAAATTTACCATTTGTGAGTTAAATTTCAGAAAGTAGATTTGAAAGTAATATTTCGAAAATATCAACCACCCGGCGAGTGCGATTTAAAAATCAGAAAAAAAATCCTCTTTGCTTTTCAAAATTGTTATCGAAATAAGAAATAAAAAACTGATTTATGAATTTGACTCCAAAAAGTAGATTTGAAAGTGATATTTCAAAAATGACTCGACAAATAATTTTATAAAATAAGAAAAAAAAATTCCCATTTCTTTTAAAATTGGTATCGAAATAAAAAATAAAATAAATATTTAAAAATTGAAAAAAACATGGAAATAATAAAATTTTTTCAATTTTTGACTTCAATTTTCAAAAGCTGAATTGAAAGTGATATTTCAAAAATAATTACTCGGCTCTAAGTCTTAAAATCAGAAAAAAATTCTCTTTGCTTTAAAAATTATAATTGTCTTGTTTTTATAGGAAGAGAAAAATGCTCGCTCATCATAATCTCATTGGTAAGTAGAACGATTAATTGTTTTCAAATTCAATCATCGACGAAGAATTAAATATTGTATTTCGACAATACTATCACAATCGAGATAAAATCTCTATTTTATTTAATTTTTACTCCGTCTATCTTGTTTAGTTTTAATTTATCTTTTTTATTTTTATTCTAATTTTCCAGTTTTAATTCCTATTTTTTCCTTTTGCTTTTTTTGTTATTTATCCGCTATTTTTGGTTTTTCCGTTTATTTATTTTTTTGCTGTCTTTTGTCTATTCTTTCGTTTTTCTGCTTTCCTAAAATTTTTATCTACTCTTTCGCTTTTTTCCCCTTCTTAGATTTTTTAGTTTTTCTAATTTTTTTTTTCACACCGAGTGTCGAAATTTAATTTTTCTTTTCTAATTGTCATAATAATAATTTTTTGCGATAAAAAAAAAAATATTTACCTGAGAATATTTGGGTGACTGAGTTTGTTCATCAGCTGGACCTCCTTGAGCATGTTCGGTCTGTTGGCCGGAAGTTGGTTCATTTTCAGGACCATCACCTGACCAGTTACTTTGTGGGTGACCTGAAAAACAAGGAAATATGTACATGATTCTTGAGAAAATGCTAATTCACTCGCTACTTTAATGCTAAACGCTCTTGCGGTTTATTCTCAATATTGCTCGACTGCACATAAGTATTTATATCTACTAATGGTTTATACGAGGTCGATTAATTGTTAAGTGCACTGTTTCAAGAAATTCAACTTTTTTTTTTCTTTCTTTTTTAACAACATTATCAGTCGAGAGAGTTTCTAAAATATACAATTAATATAGTAACACGAAAATCTTCACTTTCTTTACACCAAACTCTCATCAGAGTCTTTCGTCCTTTAAAGATAATTATCGTTCAAGAATTTTCATCGTGGAAAACTTATTTCACTATAGCATTTAATTAATTTTAAATTAAATTTATTTTACTAGTAAATTATTTTTCTCTCAAAAAAAAACTTTTCTTTGACAAATTTTGTAGAATTCAATTCTTTACGAACAGAGTTCGAAAAAAAAATTTGATCCGAAAAATTAATTACATTGGTCCTTTATTTTTCCCCAAGCAAATTTTGCAGAATTCGATTTTTTTTCCAAAATTGAATCGAGAATGGAATTACTAACTATCTGAATCATTATTCTTTATTAATGATTCGAGGTTTCGATCTGGCAATTATTTAAAGAGAGAGAGAGAGAGAGAGAAATAATAACTATTATGTCTCTATAGAACATTATAAAAGTCGGTCGCTCTAGAATGTTACTGATTTTCACGGATAATAAGACATTGTTGGAGGACTGCAAGACATTATTTGCTACCGCTTGCGATACGAATCTGAAAACGTGATTTGTTCAGAAACCTACGTGAGAATTCAAAGTCGTTCTCATGAACGAGATTTATATTAATGAAACCACACCGTTGACTGGCATCTCTTAAACAAAAAAGAGAATTAAACACAAAACGTGATCAATTTCAATAGTAGAAAAAAAAGCAAAAAAAAAAAAAACATTGTCAACTCTAATTAATGATCGAAAAAGAATAAAACGACGAGAAAAAGTCCCAAGATCCAAATTGAGTTAACTTTATCGGTTTCATAACCGGAAATGACGAAACTAGAAAATTTATTTATTTTTATATAAAATAAATACTTGATGGTAATTTTGTAATTCCTATTTGCGAACGTGGAGGCAAATTTTTGAAGTAAAATACAAATGTAAAACTGTCACTAAAAGTCAGTTTTATGGACATTTGTGTTTCTTCTCCCGGTCCAAAAAATGTCGAAACGAAAGTTTCGGAGGATCCGAAAAAGAGATTTTTGGCGAAGATTCCTCGGCAAAACGGCAGAATTCAGTTGGATTTATGCCAAGAGATGACGAATACAGAACCATTGCAAATCATCGTTTCGTAAAAGAGGACCAAACAACTCTCTCGAGGAATTCCTTGAGCTTGTTTTTTTTCTGCTCTCTCTCTCTCGATTCCGATTAAAAAAAACCGACACCCTCACTCTTTACGAATTAATATCGTTCCTGCGAAAATAAAAATTGCAAAAATTAAAAAATAATTCAGAGTAAATAATTTATTATTAAACAATAATTTAGAGAATTATTGAATAATTTAAAAAACTATTAAATAACTTAGAGAATTATTAAACAATTTCGAGAATTATTAACTATTCCAGGAAGGAATTCAGAAAAATAATTCCAAAAATAAATTGTATCTCCACTGCGGGATTAAAATTATAAAATAAGGTTAACAATGTTGATTCAAGATTGTTGCCATTGGAAAAAAAGGTTAATTGTTTTCTTAGATGTGAGGTAAATGTGGATTTATTTTAGCTCAGAGCACGTGGTTAATCTATATGACCTGATGAATCATACTCGGAAGTCATGAGCTGTTGAAAATGAAAACAAGGGCGCTTAAATTCAATTCCTAGACAATTTTTTTTCTTTTCACTCTTCAAAAACCCTTTACTCGAGATTCTAGACTGCAAAAAAAAATAACAAGATGTTACCCAATTAGAGAACCAGTATTTTTTTTTTGTTTCAATTTTCCACAAGGGAGAAAAATTGACTCCCAAATGAATTCAAAATAAAAAATTATCACTACAAAGAAAATCGAGAAAATTTCTGAGAAATCTTTTTCTTTTGTGTGACGCCTTTTTCCTTATCAATTCATCCTAAGAGTATTTTTTCCCCTTACGCAATTGTTGTTTTCAGAAACAGATGCTTGCAAATTGAAAAACAACGTGTGAAAAAAAGATAACAAAAAATTGTACAAATTAACAAATTTTCAAAACTGAATAAATTTTGAAGAAAAAAATTTTTTTTAGAAGAATATAAACTGAGAAAAAAAAGGAGAAATGGAAAAAGAAATTTGAAAATAAGAAGAAAATTAATAGAAAAAATTGGAAAACAGAAAATAAATAGAAAAAATTAGAAAACAGAAAATAAATAGAAAAAATAGAAAATAAAAAGAAAAAATAGAAAAATAGAAAATAAATAGAAACGTAAATTAAAAAAATTGAAAGAGAGCGAATTTCGAAAAATTGACGATTAAAGGATAATTTACAAAAAAAAATCAATAGAAAAGTAAATAGAACAAAAATAGAAAGAGAACGAAAGGAAATTTTGAGAATTGACGATTAAAGGACAATTTACATAATTGTTTCCTTCATCGTCGGTTTAAATATAATTCAGCTCCGAAATTATATTCAATAGATCTATAAAACGACTTTTCCAAAATTACTCTCCACGAGAGGAAGAAGAAGAAGCCAAGTCTTTGATTAATGACGCGGGATTTATTTATTCATCAAGAATTTAACTCAGAATATAGAGAAATCGTGAATTTTGAAATATTTCTAAAAACACTAAATTAGACTACATAGAATTTCAAAAAAAAAAATTACAAACAAATTCTCCCAAAGCCTAATTTCTATAACAAATATTCCAAAACAAAAAAACAAACAAACAAAAAACGTTTAACAAACGAACTTCTCTAATTCACACTTTAAGTTCTCGAATCGAGAAATTTTTTGATCAACTTCCTTTTTCACATCTCCCTATGTACATAGTATACATACTTTCACCTGGCAATAAAATGAAGAATGAAGAAACATACAATATTTCTTACGCACGCACACAAATACGTAAACAATTTATAAACATGAGGAGAGAAAAAAAAGGAAGAACGAAACAGAACTAACGATCTCAAATTTCAAGACTCCAAGAAATTAATGTCAACATTTTATTTCAAAAAGAAAAAAAAAAGAAATGTCGAAATTCATAAATATGCAAAGACATGGAGATATATTGAAGACATTTTGAAATTTACATTGTAAAAATATTTTACTAGTGCGAAAAAATGGAATGAAAAGTCCAAAATAATTCGCAGAGGAACGAAAAACAGAAAAAATAATTCACCGAGGAATGAAAAGTAGACAAAATAATTCACAGAGGAAAATTAAATTACGAATAAACTGAAAATTTCCGGAATGAGGAAATTACTGGTTGTCAAAAAAATCATCACACACACCTGGTGCTATTACACAATAAATTGCGAATACTTAAAGAATTGGGAAACTCTTCTCTACATACAACAAAAATGGAAAATTCCACAATAAATTATAATAACAGTTATTATTATTTTTTTTTTTTTGTCGAATAAATTCAAATTGACCAGAACGTAATAAAAAAGCGAAAGAGAAAGAGGTGAAACAGTTTGCAAAATCTTCATACGCAATTACAATCCGAAAATTAATATTCATCGCATCAAATACTTTTAGAGCAAGGTATATTAATTTATAGAATTCTTTTGCAAAATTCATTCAAACATTTAATTTCAATGTCTACTATTATAAATTTCGATATTTTGCCAGCCCCTTTGATTACATATTTGGCAAAAAAAAAAATAATTCTACTGCAAAAATTCACAACTATGGAATTTCTAAACAATGGAAATGTTTGACAAACGAAATTGAAAAAGTGAGGAAAAATATTTATTACATAGAGCGAAAATATGTAATAAATTATTAGTGCAAATAATGATGATGATAATAATAAAAATATTAATAAAAAACAATAAATATAATAATAATAATAATAATAATAATAATAATAATAATAATAATAATCTAAGTAACAATAATAATGCTAAATAATATTCTGTCATATAAATAAATTTTATGTCAAAATTGTGAGCCAAAAAGCAAAAATGTTTCATATATCAACGAGCTTTAAAATCACAGACCACAAGAAAATGTGGCAATTTAATCAAATATTAATCGAATCACTTTACACTCCAAGACATTGTTTATTTTTATACTTTGATGTTTCCATTTCATTTCAAATTTCCATTACAAAGTAAAGTGAATAAAATTCCATTTAAATTAAATATTAAGAATTAATAATTTTTTTTTACATTTTCCTTTAATTAAAAAAAACCAATTTGTTTTAGTCTAGAAATAATCCATTTGCCTTTAACTTATTAATTTAAATAATAAATAATTTAATTAAAGAAAAATTTAACAATAATTAACTTCAATTTAAGAAAAATAAAATTTTAATTAATTTAAAAAAATCATTAATTTATTATTAATTAGTCTTTAATTTAAAAATAGTAAATCTTTATATTCGTGAAGTTTACAATGTTTATTATTAACGAATTAGAAGAAAATTATTTTTGCAAGTAAATTTTTGTAACTTTTTGCATAAAAAAATTATTTAAAAATTTTTCTTTTCAATTATTTTATTTTTACAAATTAATCATCACTTTTGTAATTATTTAATTAATAATATAATAATTAATACAAATTTTAATTTACTAATTAACAAATATTTAAATTTATTAATTTTATAAATATTTAAATTCACAAATGAATAATTACTGAAATTTAAAATTGAAATCACCGAAATTATTATTAATTAATAAATGAGGAAAACGAATAGTAATTTCTACTTTTACTTTTTCAATTATTGCACGATTAAATGTTATAACAGGTTCGATTATAATTGACACAGTTAAAAACACGTTTAGCCGAAGAAC